CATGCCCCCCACTGGGGATCGAGCCCGCAACCCAGGCATGTGCCCTTGGCCAGAATCGAACCCAGGACCCCTCAGTCCGCAGTCCAACGCTCTATTGAGCCAAAACAGCTGGGGCAATAAACTTTAATTTTACTTTCACGTACAGAGCAATCATTTCTGTACTAATTGGGCATAATGGGTTTTTAATATTCACAGGATACCTCAAAACTCAAAGTGCACAACTGTCAAGAAGGAAAATGATCTGGAATGCCTGATAATGACAACTGTTAGAAAACAGATGATGAGCTTTTACCCTATTAGTTTCTTTACGCTCATAAATACTTTAAACAGAAAATGATTAAGTAGAGCAGTTTCTGAGGTTAGCTCGCATATTCTCCTTAATCATAAGCAATTTTGTAAATTAAACTCTGAAGATCAAAAGATGCATAAGATGTAATTCTTAAACTTGCCAATATGGACATAATATGTTGCCAGTTTAACAATCTGCTGCAAAATCTTCGTCAAAAAATAATTTTGTCACTCTAAACTAAAAACAAAGTTTTCTTCTGGGCCTTAAGAATTTATAATGTCAAGATGATTAAAATTATTGTTAGGTACTTAAAAAGTAAATGATTAATTTTTTAATAGAGTACTTACATAGTCTGTCAAATTCCTCTTTTGTGAGAACCACTTTATTCCACGTCCATTCAAGAACAAAGCGCAAATTAGCAGCAGAATTTGGTTGTTCTAATTTGTAAATATAAAAGAAAAAATAAAGAATAATTATTAATTAGAAACAAAAAAGGACTAACTTTTTAGTGGAGAAACCTGACAGAAACCACCCTTACCAAGTGAGCAAGATAAAAATCAACAATAGAGAGAAACTGGTATCATGTATCCTTCTCAGAGCAGTACATTACTTTATGTGAAAATTGTAAAATCTGAATCCAATCCTGAGGAAAGATCAATAAACCAAACTGAAAAGCAATCTACAAAATAACAGGGTTATATTCTTTAAAAATATAAATTTTTGGAAAGAGAAAGGCTTATACCAACTTTAGAGATTATAAAGACATGAAAATTGCCCTAGCCGGGTGGCTTGGAATGTCCTCCCGTACATCAAAAGGTTGGGGTACGATTCCCAGTCAGGCATGTACAGGAGGCAACTGATTGATGTTCTCTTTCACATGCATGTTTCTCTCTCTCCCTTCCTCTCTTAAAAAAAAAAAAAAAATGCCCTCAGTGGAAGATTAAAACAACAACACACACACACACACACACACACACACACACACACACACACACACACACACACACACACACACACACACACACACACACACACACACACACACACACACACACACACACACACACACACACACACACACACACACACACACACACCTCCTGCAATTCTTAAATAATAAAATAAAAATAAACAGGAAGACATGAAAATCAAATACAATATGTACATAGTCTGGATTTCCCCTGCCCAAGAATGCTACAAAGGACCTTAATAGGGACAATTAGTGAGATTCCAATGTCTGTAGATTAGATAATGGCATGTTATCAATATTAATTTTTATGATTTTTATAGTTGCAAAGTGGGCTTTTAATGGAGTGTCCTTGTTTCTAGAAGGAAATAATATTTTATTATTTATGGGTAAAGGAACAGGATATCTTCAACTTATTCTCGAATGTGTGTAGAGTGAGCGTGATACACACAACCTGGATACGTCTCCAAAGAATTTTGCGAGTGAAAAAGAGTCAATCCCAGAAGGTTGCATACTGTGTGATTCCATTTATGAGCATTTTTTAAATGACAAAATTATAAAGAATAGATTGGTGTTTGTCAGGGGTTAGGGATGTGGCTATAAAAGGGCAACACGGGGGATCCCGATTTGATGCAGCAGAAGTTTGCCAGATTTTATCATTGGGGTGGTGGTTGGGGGTAGGGGGGTAAAGAGTACACAGGATCTCTCTATATTATGTCTTATAATCATGTAACTACATGCGAATCTACAAATAGCTCCAAAAGAAGTTTAACTAACCACCCCCACAAACAACGAGTTGATAATTTTAAAAATACAAAAGTATCTTTCCATTAAAAATAACAATCTTACCATCCAGTATCCACCTCCTGATATATCCAGTCAAAAGTCCCAGGGAACTTGTGTGGATTGCTGCTGACAATACAGCTTTTAATTGTTCTTCCTACACCATGCATACAAAAAAGTAGGAAATTAAATAAGAAAGGATATGTGATCACAGAATCAGAGGTAGAAGTTCTAGTTCAGGATACAAAATTTTAAAGGCTTAAAAATCATTATGACTCACTAGGATGGCTATATAGAAAAGACAGACAATAATGAGCATTGGTGATGTGGAAAAATTGGAATCCTCACACACTGCGGGTGGGAATATAAAATGATAAAGCCCACTTTGGAAAACAGTCTGGTAATTCCTCACAATCAAAATTACCATATGACACAGCAATTCCACACCTAGGTACACACGCAAGAGAAAGGAAAACACATGACTACACAAGAACTCCATATGAAGCAGCATTATTCCTGATAGCCAAAGACTGTCCATCACCTGAAGAATGAATTTCAAAATGAGGTATACTTGGTACAGTGAAATACTAGACAGCCATAAAATGGAATCAAGTACTGATACATGCTACAAGATAAATGAACCTTGAAAACATTGTGCTAAGTGAAAGAAGCCAGTCACAAAATACCATATTATTAAGATTCAATTTATAGCCCGGCCAGTGTGGCTCAGTGGTTGAGTGTCAACCTATGAACCAGGTCATGATTCAATTCCTGGTCAGGGCAAATGCCCAGGTTGCAGGCTTGATCCCCATTAGGGAACATATAGGAGGCAATGATCGATGTTTCTCTCTCTTCTCAAAAATCAATAAAAACATATCCTTGGGTGAGAATTAAGAAAAAATCATCTCACCTGACTTAAACTGGAAGGCTGCATATCAATAAGTCTTGGTGAGAGAAGGCCAGCCATAAGACATCGATTATAACTATCCGAAATAACTTCATTAATAAATGGTCCTGATTTCTTTAAAAAGGTCAAAGTCTGAAACAGATTGATCAATAAGATATCAATTAATCAAATAACCAAATTTGAATACATAATAAACTCGTTACCCCACTCAATAGACTTAACATTTTGAATAAAACTAAAAACACTGAAATGGAAATTGTGGAAGACTACATTTTTGTACTTCCTTCAAGGAAAAGAGTTTATAGATTCTTGAGCTAAAGCAATGCTTCGTAATTATAAATATTGTAGCTTACATGTTTTTATGAAAGGTACCCATTACTTTCTCTAAAGCTGATAGACTCGATGACAGCTCTTTATGAACACAAACACACACACAACGCCCTGCAGTTAATTCCTCTGGGTCTAATATACAAAAGACCTGATATGAAGTATAAATATGGCATTCATCTACATCTATGTGATTATCAGTTAAAAGGTTTGTCACTTGATGTTTTCCTAGAAAAGTATTTTTCAACAGACAGCCATCATCCGCTCTGTGCCAGGCACTGTACCACTGTGCTAGGTACCTCTTTTCATTATTTATTCAAAAGCTTTCTGGAGAAAGGAGAATTCAGAGAAAGGATAAGAAGGGACAGGTAAGACAATGATCTACTTTGATCTTTTCCTTCGGGTCAAGTAGCTAACATCCACAGAAAGCTGCTAAAAACATTCCGATACGTCTCATTAACCTAGTAGAAGCTACCATCAAGTCAGTCATGATCTGACTTGAGTTCATTAAGAAACACTGTCCACATTGCCAGCTGTTACCTACCTCCTTCTGAAAGCCAGTACAAGTTATATGAACAACTCCTGAGTTTAACAAACAAGTGGCATCTAAAAAAAAGATTTTAAAAATCCACTTAAGTATTATATTTGAAATGGCATTGATAACAACAGAATTTCTCTTAACAGATTCCTAGCCAAGGTATCAAATTATTATATACAATAAATTTTAAAATATTTTTCCAAGTATTTCCAAACTTTATCAAAAATGATACCCAACTTTATCACAAATGCAGTAAGTATGAAATATTTAATCTTTTCTAGCAAATTCAAAACTGTGATAATTTCCTTATAGACTATGTATTAAATTTCTCATGTACATGTATATTTTCTAAGCTATCCATATATTAGCTGACAATGAGATATGAATAGATAATACTATGCATATACGTTAAACATAAATACACACACACACATACTCTTGCATGTTATTTTTCTCAAAAGGTAATGTTAGGGAAATACATACCAAAGTTATAGGAACTTGGGTTAAAAAACTGCTCAGGAGGCGAGTATGAAGGAGCAAGTCCTCGATTTAAACTTCTCTCGTGGACTAATAAATCCAAGATGTAATATGGAGAAGTCATATTTACAACAGAATCCAGCGACCACAATGCAAAATAAGAGCAATTATGTAGAGATTCTCCCGATCTAAAAGGAAATTTTACATAATTATTCACTGAACTGCTACAGATACAAATACCAAAAGAAAGAGAGAGACGCATACCTTAATGAATCTGGCATTTGTGCATGATACCAACGATTTATGTCAAAAATCCCCAAATATATAGAAGGCTTTCCTTGTCCATATATATTCACTTGCCAGGTGAAGATTGAAACGCTAGTGTCAGGAGACAGAGCTAAAAGGAAAAGATAATTTTAAAAACTAGAATAATCTCAAAGTAAACCCCCCAAATAAAACTATAACAAGAGCTTTCTCATAAATCCATATTTGATTTAATTTGCCCAAACACACTTCTATCATGCATTTTATAAGTAGAGATTTACTCACCTTTATCTTAACTGTTTTTATATTTCAAGAACACCTTATTAAAAACTCATCAGAAAAGTTATATTCTGGCTTATTTTCAGTTGTCACCTTGGCAACTTTGAGGTATTGGAGGTAGAAAATAGAAAATGATCTGAATGAATATCTCCCAAGAATGGTGCATAGCTAGTACCAGAGAATATCAATATCTAAAGTGGATGCCTTTAGGTCTTAGAGCTGAATTCTTTAAAGGAACTTTGGTTGAGAAGGACTGATCTACTAGTAAATGCATAAGTCGAACAACAAATCGGTTACTTTCTCTCTAAAATCGATTAAAAAATATATAAACCTTAAGTCAAGCATTCACATGCCATATAAGAGAATTTTTAACTAACCTTCACTCATGCCTTCCTCCCTGTCACCATGAGATCGAAATTTCTCTATACTCTGGCATCCCAACAGTTTGGTATTACTAGTCTGTCCCCTCAAAGGAAACATGCCACATGTGAGGTCCAGTGTGTATCTTTCTTCACAGTACTCCAATCCCTGAAAAATAAAGTGTACAAAATCCTTATCTTCATAGGATTCTAAGTAAAAAGTCATTCTAAAATTAAATGTTTTCTAAATTTAAAGATTTTTCCCAAAGAAAACAAAAAAGTTAAACCTTGAAAGTATCACTGAAAGCTCTAAAATTTCATATAGCATAAAATATTTATCAAATAAAAGGCTAGTTTTAGTCTCTCGAAAGTAATTACCAATAAATTTTTTGAAGCTGTTAATCAAACATGGGAACCTTCATGTACTACTGGTTGGAGTGTAAATTGGACTAACCACTGAAGTTATATATACACATACTCTAGGCCAGCAAACCTATTCTTGTATTCGCAATGAAAATCTTGCTCTCGAATAGGTCTTTGCTCATCAATCCCTTTAAGAATCTGAAAAAAGCTGTGAAACTTTCCCCCCAAATGCATCATCAGTGGAATGCCACACATCATTCAGGTACCCATCCTATACCCTCAAACACTAGGTCTAGAAAGCCTGTTCTGGAGAATGGAATGTGAGGGTTGACCAAACATGGCTATTAGCAGCACCCCACTATTTCCTCAAGAATTCAGCCACAAAAATAGTCCTATGAAAGGCTAGCTGCATTTACGCTCCTATACAATTGTCAGCGACAAGACTGTTTATAAAGTCACCCCATGGTTTACTGCTTGATGTTAGAACAGGGATGGGAAACGTCTGGCCCGTGGGTCATCTAAGGCCCCGAAACCATTTGGTCTGGCTCTGCCAAGGCATTAGGGATGAGTTAATTAAATGTTTGACCAAATATAGCAGGCCAGTTTTTAAGCTGATAATTTTGTATTGCCCTCAAATGATGTTATAAATATCCAAATGGCCCTGGGCAGGAAAAAGGTTCCCCACCTCTGGTTAAGAGCATCAATGTGGGGTTATTTTTCCTGGGTACCATTTAGGCTACAAGCTTTAGTTCTGTCCAATGCCCTCATTTTAGAGGCAAGTGATACCTGGAGTGCTAACAGAGCCACCTTGGTAAAGCAGCTGGTGTCCTAATCCCCAATGTAATACTTTTTCCATTATATTGTGAATACAGTACTAACTTAAATATAAGAATAACTTTTTAATATCTTAATGTCTTAAAAGAAAGACTTAAAATACATGATCAATGAACAAAATGCCGTATTACCATTACATTTACCTCATATAAGATTTGTCCTGATGGTAAACACTTTCTATCCCCAAAGGCCAGTTGAAGCAGATGCAAACTCAGCACATCCCCTTCACTGAAAGAGAGATCAGCATGTTTTTTAGTGTTTCTCCTAAGAAATACTAACAATCATATTAATTACACTAAGCATCTCTTACTGTCCAAATCAGTTCAGTTTGAATACAATATTGAGTGCGTATGATAAAACTAAGGTCACTATGCCTGGGCAGTGTGGCTTAGTGGTTGAACATCAACCTATGAACCAGGAGGTCACAGTTTGAGTTCTGATCAGGACACATGCCTGAGTTGCAGGCTCAATCCCCAGTAGAGGGCATGCAGAAGCTAGCTGATCAATGAATCTCTCTCATTGTGGATGTTTCTATCTCTATCTCCCTTCCTCTCTGAATCAATGAACATATATTTTTTTAAAAAAAGAAAGGAACTGCCGTTCGACCCAACGATCCCACTTCCAGGAATACATCCTAAGAATTCTGAAACACCGATCAGAAAGAATATTTGCACCTCTATGTTCATAGCAGCATCATTTACAATAGCTAAGATCTGGAAACAGCCTAAGTGCCCACCAGTAGATGAGTGGAACAAAAAAGCTGTGGTACATCTACACAATGGAATATGATGTAGCTATAAAAAAAAGAAGGAACTCTTACCCTTTGTGTCAGCACGGATGGACCTGGAGAGCATTATGCTAAGTGAAATAAGCCAGTCAGAGAAAGAGAAATACATGCTCTCAGTTATATGTAGAATCTAATGAACAAAATAGGTCCAGAGGCATGGATGCATGGAACAGAACGACATATCTCAGAGGGGAAGGGTATGGAGGGGAAGGGAAGAGATTAGCCAAAGAACATATATGCACATATGCATAGCCCGTGGACACAGACAATAGTGTGGGAAGGCCTGCTGTGGGGCAGAGGTTGAGTGGAGAGGGGCAAAGGGGGCATCTGTAATACTGTTAATGATAAAAATAAACACAACACCCTCTCATTCCTGACCATTCCAAGCCTTCACAAGGCCCATTTCTCAATGCTGTTGGCCCACATTACACTCAGATGAATGGAAATACGAATTTGATCCAAATGAGGGGCATCTCAATAGATATCTCTGTATTTCCTACAGGATTGACAAATTTGAAAAATGGCAAATCATTTTTTCATTCATTGCCTTGTTACTACAATGTAAGGTTAAGACAAAACCTCAAATGTGAGGACATCAAAAACAAAACCCCAAATTGTCCACACGCAGGTACATAAAATCTAAGGTAAAATAGAACTTGGAAAGAGAAAGTACTGGGATCAGTGAGTTATCAAGATCATGGCATTTATACCACAAACTTTAATTTCACGGATCATCAAAGAAAGAACTAAATACCTAAGAAAAAAAGTTAAAAATCAGTACTGAATACTGTTCTGGCACTGGAAATTAAATTGAAAAGAAAGATCTGTCCATAGTTGCACATTAGAACATTAGAGCTTATGACAGGGAAAAGTCAATCCTAAAAATATACTAGAAAACAGAGTAGGGATAAATAAAAATGAGAGAGGCATACAAAACAAAGGGGAAAAAGGAATGAGATTATAAAGAGAAAAGATTTTCTTATAAGAGAACACAGAAAGCCATAAAAATTGCCTCTAGAAATAATAGGTTGCCTGCTCATCTGAACTGACTTACACTTTGAAATAACATTGAAACAAATCAAGCAAGCACAATTTCTTCTGATATATGAGAATCACTTAAACTTGTAGAAATAATCATTTAACTTTTTTTAAAGTATATTTTTATTTATTTCAGAGGGAAAGGGAGAGGGAGAGAGATAGAAACATCAACGATGAAAGAGAATCATGTATTGGCTGCCTCCCGCATGCCCCACACTGGGGATCGAGCCCACAACCTGGGCATGTTCCCTTGATTAGAACTGAACCTGGGACCCTTCGGCCCGCAGGCTGACGCTCTATCCACTGAGCCAAAATAGCTAGGGCTCATTTACCTTTTTTAATCATTTCAACTATCACGAATTCACTGAATTATGTTGCTTTCACTAAAAAGAGACAACACAGTACAAAGTAAAAGCTTTCCAAAGAAATTAAATGCTGCTCCATTTTTGACAAATATTTTTCTAAAAACACATGTATCACACTTACCTATCTTGTGTAGACTGAACAGCCCACAAGTAACAGCAATTTCGAGGATCATTCTCAGGTTCTTGAAAAGTAACAGCATATACGGGAACCCTTCCACTTTCCAATTGTGTGTAGTATCTGTAATAGGCACAAAAATTAGTATACTTCATACTTTTAAATTATAACCATGTTAAAGAAGGTGCCTCAGTATAAGAATCTGAGTTAGAGCAACTACTGCTCATACAACCATCTTCAAAAATACACAGGAGCTCTGGCCGGTATGGCTCAGTGGATAGAGCGTCGGCCTGCAGACTGAAGGGTCCCAGGTTTGGTTCTGGTTGGGGGCACATGCCCAGGTTGTGGGCCCGATCCCCAGTGGTGGGTGTGCAGGAGTGGTCAATGTTGTGCTCAGGGGTTAGAGCATCAATCTGTGCACCCAAGGGTTGCAGGTTTGATTCCCCTTTAAGGGCACATACCTGGGTTACAGGTTTGATCCCCACCCTATTGGGTCAGGTGCAGGAGGCAATCAATCAATGTGTCTTTCTCACATCGATGTCTATCTCTCTCTCTCCTCTCCCCCTCCCTTCCACTCCGTCAAAAAAAAAAAAAATCAATGGGAAAATATCCTCAGGGGAGGATTAACAACAAAAAACACACAGGGTACAAGACATCAAGACAATGAACATGAAAAAAAAAAAGACAATGAGCACAGCATCCATCCCCCCAGGGAGAACTGGGAAGGGTTAAAATTAATAAAGCACAGAATACATGTATGTGTGAATTAGTCCTTCTAGTTCATATAAATATATGCCACTATGTACTGCTCCCCAATAAGAGGTACCCTCGAGAGAGATGTAATACTGCCACAAGACTCCATTTCTTCAGCTGCATGGATTTAAGCATCAGTTCCACTATGTTTGCTACCTCCCTCAATAAAGGAGTACTTCCCTCAATAAAGGGTTAATTCCTTAACAATTTTTACACCATAAAAGTATCAATATAATTATATTTGGATCAAGTTTTGCACAGCATAACAATTTTAAAACATAGCATTTTAGAACTGATTTTTTAAAAAGCCTTTGCTTTTCTGTCTACTGGTAACAACTACTTCACACATATTTATACATCCTATGTAATAAAAGGCTAATATGCACACTGTCCCCTTGACTGGGAGTTTGACCAGGGGGCGAGCCCAGCTGGCAAACCTCCCATGTCCCCTCTCCCAGGCCAGCCCAGCCCAATGGGCCCCGATTTGTGCACCGGGCCTCTAGTATGGTTAATAAGAAAGATACTTATGAAAAAATTCATACGATATAAATATGTTTAGAATCATGCTTTATTAGCAAATTTAACACAATAACTGAAATGCCTTTTAAAATATACACTGAATCAACCTAAATTCATGTGCTAAGCCATTTCTTTATTATATCATCATGATTTAATATAATAAAAAATTATTCATAGTCACTCAATCATTAATTTATCCTACCATTTTCCCCTTAACTTATCAAAGGGACCAGGTACAGTTCTTGCTTAGCTCTGAGTATCAGGTTTCACTCCCTAGCCTGACTATGGAATTATTCAAACCAGGGAATCACACACTCCCAGGGAACCAGGACCCCTCACCCTCTTGATCCCACAAAGCCCACCTCCCACTTGCTCTGGTCCTCCACCCTGTTTCAGAGTGCAACCTCCAGGTGACCCTGCATTGCATGTGGTGTCCCCTTCCCTGGGGCTGTGAGTAGGTGTCTGCCCAGTGTTGGATATCCTCTGTTCAGCCATCACCATGACACAATGGTAAGATCCCTCCCTCCCTCATAAATGGGGAATATGAGGTGACTAAAACATGTTAGGGCCACTCAAATTTGCTTAAAGCACAGACCTTCCCTTTCTCTAAATAAATATGCCATTTAATGGTATAGATCCAGGGTGACAGCCACATTGTGGCCATCTGAAGAGGCAGATAAAATGATCAGAGGCTCTCAGTAAAACGCTTTCATAAGTCATTGATTATACGGACATGCATTGAACACTTTCCTATTGGCCCATTTTCAAGTGCAGTGATTTAAAACCTTTTTCATCTCATGACACACATAAATATGTTTTTGCTGCTCTGGAAATAAAAGGCATAATTTCATTCATTCACACTGAATGGCTAGTGTCCTGTTGGCTGTTGTCATTTTTTATTTGGTAATCTAGGGGAAAAAAGGTCAGTGCCCCTGACTAAATAGTCAGGTATTGCATGTTTAAAAATCCTTACAGCACACCAGTTGAAAATCACTAAACTATACCAAAGAATTAATTAATATGTTGTTAAGAGTGGTAATGACATCATGATTATGTAGTAAAATAACCATTTGCTTTGAATTAATGCAGAGGAAATGAGAGAAAGGAGTGAAAGAAAATGGATGCATATAAAGTAAATTTTGAAAACTAACTTGAATTTAGGTGATGGGTATGTGTGGATTCTTATATTCTTTTACCTACTTGAAGATGATGGTAATCTTTAATGAAACAAAAATATTCAGGCCTGTATATTGATATAACTATTGTGCAAGGGCAGATTCCCTCAATGTTATTATGAAGGGGTTACAAAATCATATTCCACTGTGCTAGCTTCAGCAGCACATATACTAAAATTGGAACAATACAGAAAAGATTAGCATGGCCCTGCGCAAGAATGACACGCAAATTTGTGAAGCGTTCCATATTAAAAAAAAAAAAATCATATCCCACTGTTCTTGAAGTTACCCTCTTGATCCCTACTGTTTCTGATTACTTTTTCAGAGAATAGTAATTAAATGTTGCCAAAATATAGTATTTCATGTAATAAAATACTGTAAACTTATTCAAGAAAATAAGGTAGACTCTACATGTACTGATGTGACAGAATATGTAAGAAATACCATTAGGTTTGGAAGAATTGCAGTACAGTATTTATGGTATGATAAATGTTAGGAACTTCATTTTCTTTATGTGTATTTCCATAAAGTCTAAGTAGTTGTAACCACAAATTACATTTTTAACAAAAAAATCAATTTTGTATTGAACCCCAACACTCAATTTTGTGTGTGTGTGCTATAAAATTCAATGGCTTAATAACTGTCATAATTGAGATATGGTTCTAACCTCTGATCACAATGCAGTTCAAATATAAAATTATTCTTGTACTAAATTCAACTACTGATTGTTGCTTTCTAAAATAAAAAATGTTTTAACTCTGCCCAGCCAGACGTGGCTCAGTGGTTGAGTGCTGACCTATGAACCAGGAGGTAATAGTTCAATTTCCAGTCAGGGCATATGCCTGGGTCGCTGGCTGTATCCCCATTGGGTGACCATGTCAGAGGTAGCCAATCAATGATTCTCAACACTGATGTATCTCTCTCTCTCTCTCCCTTCCTCACTGAAATTAATAATAAAAAATATATATATTTTTAAAAGATGTTTTAACTCTATTTTGATCTGAAGTTTTAATTATGATACAAGCATTTTAATTAGCCTTACAGCTATATCATATAAAAAACACACTCCAGAACAAAACTTCAAGGCTATTTAATTCCTTTATCAATTTTCTATGAGCAGTTGAACCATTTCTAATATCTTACAAACTCATTTTTACTTACTGTTCTTTTGCTAATCAATTCTTTTCATTTAAACTTATTTTGCAGATTTAAATTTAGTTTAAATGGTTAAGTTCCTCAGCCAATTTTTGGTCAAATTTTTGCCGCTTGCAGTTTTATTATATACTGACAATTTTTATTAGTTATGCTCATAAACTGGGATAAAGTAGTGATAAAATAGTTTGTTATCTATTTCTACTTCTTAGCTGTCCATAAAAGAAGAGATCTGGCCCTAGCCAGTTTGGCTCAGTGGACAGATCGTCGGCCTGAGGTCTGAAGGGTCCCGGTTCAATTCCAGACGAGGGCATATGCCCAGGTTGCAGGCTCCATCCCCAGTAGGGAGCGTGCAGGAGGCAGCCCATCAATGATTCTCTCTCTTTATTGATGTTTCTATCTCTCTCCCTCTCTGAAGTCAATAAAAACATATTTTAAAAAAAGAACAGATCTGCGATATCACAGTAAGCTTCAAACATCAAGACGGTGCCCAGCTGTTGTGGCTCAGTGGGTGAGTGTCAACCTATGAACCAAGAGGTCACACACGGTTGATTCCTAGTCTGGACACATGTGCAGGCTGCAGGCTCAATCCCCAGTAGGGGGCATGCAGGAGGCAGCCAATCAATGATTCTCTTTGATCACTAATGTTTCTATCTCTATCTCTGAAATCAATAAAAAATAAAATTCAAGGTCCTCAAAGGTCAAATGGTCCTTTTGTGAGAAACATCGATAGGCTGCTTCCAGTATGCACCCGACAGGGATGGAACCCCAATCTATGTATGTGCCCTGACCAGGACAGGAATTGAACCAGCAACCTTTTGGTGTAGTGTACAGGCTAACGCTCTAACCAACTGAGCCACCAGGCCATACCACACGTATTTGTTTTTCTGTGTTATTTTTGTTATTGTTAATCCTCAACCTAGGATATTTTTCCACTGACTTCTAGAGCAGTGGTTCTCAACCTTGGCTGCACATTAGAATCACCTGGGAATCTTTTTAAAATCTTGATTTCTGGGCCTCATCCTCTGGAAATTCTGTTTGTTACTAATGTTGTGGCCCCACCCATCAACAAAATAGACTAAAATGAAAAAGCTATCAACAGTGCCCAAAACATTAAAACAATAGGTCCAAACAATGAAAGAAACAAAGATACATAAAGAAGTCTCTACACAAAATTTTTTTTACTTTGAAAAACTCAATCCCTTATATCAAAATATGCTGGTGCTCAATTTTTGGTTTCAAGCAAAGAAATTACCTGATGCCTCCACTTCATTCTGACTGCATGATAAGTCATCAAGACATAGGTCAATAAGAAGGATCTGTCCAACATTAGTTGCCACAGCTGCCACCCCAAAAAGCCACCGCAAACTTGGGTGCAAATGCTGAGTGCTTGCACTGGCTCCTCCATGATTAATTATAGGTTCAATAGCTATTACCTAGAAAGGAGAATATATGATTTGCTTTTCTTATACAAGGTGAGAAAATGCAATTAAAACATAACTTTTGAGGTTAAGGCAGGTTACTAGGTTTAACAAACATTTTCAAACAAAATAAAAAATCTGCATCTGATACTTGTGAATCTGAATAACATAATTAAATCTTTCAATATAATAGGGATTATACCATTATTTCAATATATAAAAAATCATGCAGCTGAAATAACTGATGTGCTAATTGGTTCATTTAATGTTCACGATAACCCTTTGACATTGGATATAATTATACCTGTTTAAAGATACTTGGAAAGGTTAGCTGAATTATTCAAGTCACACATTCATTAAACATAAAATTCAAATCTAGATTTTTCTCACTTTAAAGCTGTTAACCAGCTACTCTATGTTTATATAGCTTCTTTTCTTAAGAGTAAAAATAAATAATTCCAGAAAAGTTTACTGTTTACTTTTGTTTGTTTTTTTGAAGTCCTATTTATGCCTTTACACAGTAAGGTGTGTAATGGCCTTTAAAAGTGTTATATTATGCCCAGCTATGAGAGCATCAACCTATGAACCAAGGTCACAGTAAGATTCCTGGTTAGGGCACATGACTAGGTTGCAGGCTCAATCCCCAGTATCTGGAGTTCAAGATCCAGGTGATCTTGAGCAGTTTCTCTCCCTCTCCCTTCCTCTCTGAAATCAATAAAAATATATATGGCCCTAACCGGTTTGGCTCAGTGGATAGTGTCAGTCTGCAGACTGAAGGGTCCCAGGTTTGATTCCGGTCAAGGGCATGTACCTTGGTTGCGGGCACATCCCCAGTTGAGAGTGTGCAGGAGGCAGCTGATAGATGTTTCTCTCTCATTGATGTTTCTAACTCTATCGCTCTCCCTTCCTCTCTGTAAAAAAATTAGATATACATATGCGCTATATTATAATGGACTTCACACCAAGTTTTTTTAAAAAATATATTTCTTTACTGATTTCAGAAAGAAAGGGAGAAGGGGGGGGGAGAGAGAAACATCAATGATAAAAATCATTGATTGGCTTAAATTTATCTGTACCTCATAGTCCATATTTATGTTATATTTAGCTTTCCTTCTGTTTCCTATTAATTCACAAATGTTAATTAGGCATGATATATGACAGTGCTATTTGGTGAATTCTACTATAATACTGACTAAAATTACTAGAAAAAAAGAAAATTTGTTAATGATATAATGCATTAATATAATATCAAAGTTAAGTACATAATTTTTTACCAGAGACAAAAGCCTAGCTCTATGTATATTTCATTAGCACACAAAACATTCCGTAGTGTTTCTAATTCTAAAAGCTGTAATTTCATGGATTATCTTCCTTTTCTACATCAGGAAGCGTATTTTTCTTCCATTTCCTCAGCAAGGGGTAAGGAATCTGTCACAGCTTATATTCCTCATATAAATGCTATATAAGTAATCAGGAATGCTACCTTATTTAATTTTAAACTTTTGGGTGTTTTTAATATATTGATTTTAGAGAGAGAGAGACGAAGGGAATCTGGGCAGATAGCACTCCACAAAAAAAGAGACAGAGAGAAAGGGATGGAGAAACATTGATTTGTTGTTCCATTTATTTATGCATTTGTGCCCTCAACTGGAATTGAACCCTCAACCTTGGTGCATCGGGATGATGTTCTAACCAACAGAGCTACACGGCCTGGGCTTAATTTTAAAATAAGGCAGTTAAAAAGCAAAGAAATTTAAGAGGGGTTACTATGCCTTACCTTCCCCCTGCCCCCAAACAGCTATCTGACTGACCTTTAGAAGTTACCTATCACTGCTCTCCCAATCTTTTCCTTCTCCTATAGTCTCTCTTCCATGTGATAGCAGCCCTCCACCCAACTGAATATCAGGAACTTAGGTAAGTTCCTTCTAAAATACTCTTATCCAAATAATCAACAAGTCCTGACCATGTTACCTCCTGATTATTTACTAAAGCTGTCCCACCTTCTGTTTCTCCTGTCATTTCCTTGGTTCAGTTCATCATCCATCATTTACCTCAACTTTCCCAATCCAAAGAGCCTTTTACACTGGAGTTCTGCTTTAAACTTAAAATGACTTCACCACAGACTTCAGGAGAAAGCCCCTAATTGCAAACAAGGCCATTCACATCTCCATCTTCACTATTCCTGGCTCCCACTTCCTACTTCCGCTCTTTCCCTCTTTAGAGGACCATCCCCCAATACTATCTAGTCTAGATACATAAAAGGCTAATATGCAAAGTGTCCCCTCGGGAGTTTGACTAGGAGTTTGATCGCTCGCTATGACGTGCGCTGACCACCAGGGGGTAGCACAGAATGCAGGAAGCCCCAATGGGCCCTTATTGCCGGCCAGGCGTAGGGACCCTTTTTCCAAATGTTCCATATACTGTGACTTTTTACATTCTGGTCCCTTTGCCTGAAATGTCCAACCTTTTTGAGTAGAAATTATTCAGGTGTTCTCCATGTTCTAAACGGTTGAATTTATGAAAGTGCTTATTATATTTATGCTGTAATCTTATCATCAGCCTTCTACTAGACTGCAAGATTTCAGACAGCACGAACCAAGTTCAATTCATCTATTTGTCCTCAAAATCTAGCAAATAGCTTGATTCATAGTAAGCACTCAATATATGTTTTGCTAAGTTAATTCTGCCTTAGAATCATCATCACTGGCAAGTACATATATAACATCAATTACTGCAGACCCTGCACATTGGCATACAACAGTGATGGCGAACCTTTTGAGCTCGCGTGTCAGCATTTTGAAAAACCCTAACTTAACTCTGGTGCCGTGTCACAGATAGAGATTTTTTGATATTTGCAACCATAGTAAAACAAAGATTTATATTTTTGATATTTATTTTATATATTTAAATGTCATTTAACAAAGAAAAATCAACCAAAAAAATGAGCTCGCGTGTCACCTCTGACACGCGTGTCATAGGTTCACCACCACTGGCCTAACAGGGTCAGTTTCCTCAACTGTAAAAACATATTTTGTCATTAAGTTCCCTTTTAACTTTAAAAACTATTCTATGACTATATATATCACATATACATACACACATTTTTATGTATATCTCAGAGTATACTTTTTTTGCACCAGGTATAGGAAGAATTCTATTTGTGGATGTGTGTGCGCATTTGTTAAGTGTATACAGGTTTTCATCATGTATGAAACGTGCTAACAAACCAAATTCAAAGTACTTCTATAATTAGTACTGGGAAAAATGTCTGGCATATGGAGGGCATATAGATACTACAGTTAAGAAATGGTGACTATAAATGAGTCCACTATTTAAATACTAATCTTAAATAATAACAAAGACATGTTTTCCTCAAATCTTAAATAATAACAAAGACATGTTTTCCACACTGCTCCAAGACTACATAGTTGACTCTTGAACATCACAGGTTTGAACCACACAGATGCATTTACACGTGGATTTTTTTTCATAATATATACAGTACTATAAATGTATTTTCTCTTTCTTACTTTCTTTTTTCTCTCTAGCTTATACTATTGTAAAAATACAGTATCGAACACATGTAATATACAAAGTAGGTGTTGACTGTATCAGTAAGGCTTCTAGTCAACGGTAGGCTATTAAGTTCTGGGGAATCAAAAGTAATGCACAGCCCTAGCCGGTTTGGCTCAGTCGATGAAGCGTCGGCCTGCGGGCTGAAGGGTCCCAGGTTCGATTCCAGTCAAAGGCATATACCTTGGTTGCAGGCACATCCCCAGTTGCAGTGCAGGAGGCAGCTGGTCGATGTTTCTCACTCTCTATCCCTCTCCTTTCCTCTCTGTGAAAAATCAATAAAATATATATTTTTTAAAAAGTTATGCACAGATTTTCACCTGTGCCGAGGGGGGGAGGGATGTGTGCCCCTAACCGCTGCATTGTTCAAGGGTCAACTGTAGTCACAAACAAACCAGGGGAAAAAAGCCAAAGTAATAAATATTTTTATAAACTGTTTTATTTTGAACTCTTAAATGAAAACTAGCATACTTCCATAAAAGTGAACCAATTAGAAGTACACTGAGTAAACGCACCGTTGTCACTGTAATCAGCAGGGGCTCAGTTCTGAAACAAGATGGCCACACATCTTACACTGTACCTACCCTTCCAGGAAGAACGACTGCTTTTACCACTCGGGATATGCCCAGGTCATAGAGGCAGAGGACACTCCCTTCTGCATCTTCCAGTCCAATCAACAATCCGCTTCTCTTCTGCCAAGAGAACTCTTTCACAGCGAGGATGATAGGTGACTCGTCACTCAGTCCGCTGAATCTATACGCAGACAACCGCTCTCCTGTTATAGAGTGCACTACCTCAAGCTGTGGGCCACAAGTCAAGTAAGCAAGTCCATTTTTCCCTGGAAGAAAAAAAGCAAACATGTTGCTTATTTTAATAGTGTATGTGTACAACAAAACAAAAATTTTTACATACATAATCTATATATATAGAAAAGCCCAATATGCAAATTGTCCCCACAGGAGTTCAACTGGGAGACCGACCACTTGCCATGACGTGCACTGACTACCAGGGGGCGGCGCAGAACGAAGGAAGGCCCCAACCGGCAGCCAGCAGCCGGGGAAGGGAGGCCCCGCTCAGCAGCCAGAAGGCCCCAATTGGCCCTGATTGCCAGCCAGGCCTAGGGACCCTACCCATGCAGTGGGCTTCTAGTATAATAATAAGAAATAACCAGTAAAGGTACCATGCTATGCAATTAAATGCATTATCTCATTGACTCCTTGTTGAACCTCAATACAGAGAAAAGGCAACTAAACTTTCATACAGTGAAATAATTTGCCCAAAGACGAACAGCTAAATACCAGAGCAGAAGTAGATCTCATTTAAGTCCAAAGCTCATATTTTAACTACATTATACCTTAAGAGTTAAACTAGGTGTTCTAAAATATAACATGTGACTCTATTCCAGAAGAATTCAAAATCTAACTGAGAAGACAAGACCTAAGTAGCATAACAAAAGGAAGCATCTATCAGAAGCCGTTCTAGTCATGTGTGGATTATACTCTTCATGCAATTTAAAGTAACTAGAGGGTATTAAGCAGGACAGTGACAATCTGAATTCTGTTTTTAAATGTGCTGGCATGGTGCAATAGATGAGCATTGACCTATGAACCGGGAAGACAAGGTCCGATTCCCAGTCAAGACACATGCCTGGGTTATAGGCTGGATCCCTAGTAGAGGATGTGCAGGAGGCAGCCGATCAATGATTCTCTCATCATTGATGTTTCTATCAACCCCCTCTCCCTTCCTCTCTGAACTCAATAAAAATATATTTAAAAGTAAATAAAATGAAACAAATGTTACTCTAGCTGTTAAGCAGAGAATGGACAGGAAGGGGGGAGCATAAAGAAGTGGGGAAATGATACCTATGCTTGGTTGGTGATCAATAATTGGGAAAAATTGATTGACTGAAGATTCATCTTAGGGTCAGTACTAAAAGGATCTGCTTGCTGATGAATAAGATACGGAGGTAAGTAAAACAGAAGAATAAAAAACAGACCCTGAATTTTCCTTTGAGCTGCTAGATGGACGGTGGTAACTTTTATTACTAAATTTTTTATGTCTCTCATGCATCTAAGTAGATAGATCGTTGGATATACTAGATTATAGCCGAGGGGAGGCTAAATAGTTTAAGGAAGTAGTATGGCACAGTGGGGACATAGAAGGCATGGGTTCAAAGCTCATATTTACACCTGCTATCTAATAACTTAGAACAGGTCACTTCTTATTTGATTCTCAGCTACACAGAGTAGTAATTACTTAAAAAAGTCTACTATTTACCTCAGTGAAAAGTTATTACAGTAAGTACTGTTCAGGAGAATAGCACTGTAAATAGCTAAATGACCAACACAAATGTTTCGCCTCTCTTTCTCCTAGGAAGGAGGGCTGTGATATTCACTTTCAGAAAAGTCTTCTGCAGCCCTGGCCAGTGCGGCTCAGCTGGCTGAGCGCTGTCCCATGCACTGACAAGTCACCGGTTCCATTCCCGGTCAGGCCACACACTCAGGTTGTAGGCTTGATTCCCGGCAGGAGTAGCCAATAGATGTTTCTCTCTCTCCCTTCCTGTCTCTAAAATCAATAAAATCATTTTTAAGAAAGTATTCAGCAGTGTCTTTCACTAAGCTGAAATTCATAATATAATGGCTTTTTTGGTGTGATTTTCTGTATTATATAATCCAAACCATATATATCGAGATCTTGTTCAGATTAATGGAATTACAAAACTAATTATTTTGTCTCCCACAGGGCCCTAAAATTCAGAATTGCTTTATTCATAAGACTGTTTAGGTTCTAATCCAAGCTCACCAAAAAAACTTACTAATTATAAAGAAAAACCAGCTGTGTATTATTTCTACTTTCCAAATGTAGATACTCAATACTAAGATATTAAATAGGCGGTATTTTTAATGAAGAAAAATAAACTACACTCCCTCCCGCGTCACTGAAAATGTGTTCGAGTATGTAGATACTACTATATGTGTAGTCACAGATGTTATGTATTTACTTAAGACCACTCTAACCAGGATATGCTTTTTTTCTCATCCACATTAAAGAAGCTGCAACAGATACTTATTACTTATCTTACAAATCAATCAAATTTGCAAATTTTCAGCAACATTACTTTACCTGCAGCAAACTTTCCACGAAGTACAGATTCTAATGTGATTTCATCTTCTCCCAGGGCTTCAATAGTCACTTCTGGGAACTGCAGAAGACCGCTCGTCACTTGTGCTGTTAAGTCTTGCATAGTTTCACTGTAAATGTTTCAAAAAGATATTTCCATGATATTTCTATCATAATACACTTGTTTATCTCTAACCAGGAAAAAAGAAAAGCCATCAAAAATAAAAAACCTAAAACTGAAGTATGATTATAAAAAATATGTATTAATGTGCTTCTGGATCTGAGGTATTCTCTCCTAAGAAAATATTTCCCAAACAGACTTAGCAGAATAAAGATTCATTAAGCCAGATGTCCCAAGGACATATATGAGTCCCTAGATTCTTTGAAAACTGGTTCAATGCCATTAATCTTATTGCCTGACTCTCAAAGAATACTTCACACACAAAAAAATACTAATATACATTTTAGAAAAATACTGCTATGATAAAAGGGGGAAAAGTCCAAGAGAAAAAAAAATGTCCAAATCCACAGTAACTTAAGAAATTGAGTTTGGCACATCTTTAACCAGATAGAAAAAAATCTAAAATTATGTTTCATTACCATATATATAGAAGACTAGATTCCCTGAATGACCCTTCCATTGTGAACAACCAAATATAATCGTTAAAATGTAAAAGTATCTTTTCCAGTGATTACTGCGTTGGCAAAGCCAAAAGGGAAGAAACAGTAGGGATTTTGTAAGGCAAGTAAACTGCTTGGCTGTGAGGCTGACCCGTCCTGGTGATCCTGATGTTGCTTTCAGCACTCTGAGGTCCAAAGGGGAAGAAGATAAAGCTTTGGCCCAACGGAGCCAGAGCCAATAAGCCAAGAAGAGCCTCCCCACCCACCACTCTACATTACACTCCACAGGACCCTATCACCAGCATAAAGATTAGCGAGAGAAACATCCATGGTGCAGGACAAGGAGAAATAAAGTTGCCTGTTTTGACCTTGGCAACAAGTCTCTACTGAGAAAATTTCCCGTCACACAAATTAGTGGCCAGAATTCAAACCATGTTGTAAGGAAGTACTCAGGTGAAGAATTTCTTACAGTGTTCTCAGGTTGGTAACGTTCCAAGCAACCTCCAGAAACCACCACATTTCCTCTGGAATCTTCAGAGTTCTCAAAGTTTCAACAAAAAGGGGCTCACAGTCAAAATAACAGAATAATGATATGATCAACAGCTGGCAAAATAAGTCTGCAAAGACTTCAGACAGTGAAATAACCAGAACACAAGCATGTTTAATATGCTTAAAGGAACCAAAGATTTAGCTTGCTAGTGAGAAAGAAACTTTAAAAATTAAAAAGAGCCTTGGCCAGGTGGCTCAGTTGGTTGGAGCATCATCCCGTGCTTCTGGTTGACTCTGTCAGGGCACATACCTAGACTGCAGGTTGATCCCTGATTGGGGCCTGTGCAGGAGTCAACCAATCAATGTTTCTTTCTCACCTCCCTCTCTCTAAAAATCAATGGGAAAATATCCTCAGATGAGGATTAACAACAACAAAACAGTGGAAGTCTTTTTATTATCCAAAACAAATCCTAAAGTATAATCTAATAAAAGGGCAATATTCAATTAACCATCACTCCATCACAAAGATGGCAGCGCCCATAGTGTCACGCACCGCAGAGGGAGGGAGGGCATCCGGGCAGGAAGCATGCCACAGCCCAGCGGACACAACGCAGGGGGGCCTCTGTGCGTGAGCTGCAGAGGAAACACCTTTTGTGACCGCTCATTGGCTAAGCTCCCTGTATGCTGCCACTTGCAGTGTTCTTGGTAACTTGGGTTATGAAAATCCAAGAAGGTGATGTAGGGTTTTTCCACCACACTCCCGGAGGAAAAAAACTAAGGTCCGCTGCTTGAGGGGATAAGAAATGTCATATCCTGCCCTAGCTGGTTTGGCCCAGTGGATAGAGCCTCGGCCTGCCGGCCGCAGGGGC